CATCAGAAGTAAAGATGAAATAAACTGTAACTCATCTATAAGAAGAATCCAGTTACCAAGACGTATGGGTAGATTTGGATGAATTATCTGCTTTTCTCAAAGTTCAAGTCAGCCCCCAAACCTTGGTATTTACTTTGGGGGGAATCCTACATGGGAAAACCACCAAATCTGTCTGCAAATTACCCCTTATTATCACCAGTAGGCAACACCTAAAATGACGGAAGAGCAGGAAACCCAGTGGTCCCACATCCTTCAAAGATAGCTATGTGAAGCCAAATGCTGCTGGTTGGAGTGTGTGGGGAAGACAAGCAAGAAATTCACCAACCCAAGACACTGCACGGATGGAAGGCCATGCTCTTCTGTCCCTGCGGAGATGCAGGGAACACACCATACTCCAGACCCACCAGCAGCAGCGAGAAGCACACAATTTGGGAAAGATCAGAAATTTTATACAAGTCCAGCCCCCCAGATTCAGGCACATACAATCTCCCTAAGACTAAAGTTGAAGCAGGAGTATCAAGTAATGTTTTCACTACAATTCTTACTCCAAATACCAAAGGACAAACATCGGATCTCACAAGAGCTACTGAAATCTGAGAGTGTGACAAAAATACTGAGAAAATCCCCGTGCTTTCTGTATGCTGCCTCTGCTATGGCCTAGCTTATGAAATACCCTAAATTAATTTCGGGTGCTGGCCTAGAAATCTGATTCTTGAGTTCAACCTTACTGAATGGCTTATTTTTTGTTTTGTTCGGCAAATACTCTGTGCATGCAAACACAGTGGTAGGCATGGGCAAGATCTCACGGAGAACCCTGACTCCCATTACCATACGGTAGTAGCTTGGCAGGTAGGACCAGAGTTCACGTCTAAAGTCCACTGTCACGGAGATTTCTTCTTCCACAATAGCTCTTGATTGAGTCTTCACTTTTATTCCCACTTACACCACCCCAGCACAAATGGTATTATATTGAACATAACTTGCAACACAGAAATTTGCCTTTTTGTGATCTCTCCCCTAGCTTTCTCCACCATCCATAAAACCTTTCATAAATCTTTATTAAACACTGCTTTTCTCATGCCAGCCCCTGTGCAAGAATCTTCAATAGATTCCCAAGTCCTACATTCTGATATCCATGACACCAATGAAGACAAGCTAACCTATGGACAGTGCTGGAAGGCCTAACAAAATAATTAGGAATATAAGATGACACTACTTAAGCTCCATTCAAGTTTTAAAAAACAGGATAGAATTATAAGACTGAAGCCCATGGAGTTGCATTTGAAAAATGTTGTATAAGAGAACTATATCAGTGTCCATTCAAAAAGTATCAACTACACAGAGATGCAATAGTCCTTATCAACCAAGGATATGTTTTAAGACATTCTGCAGATGCCAAAAATCATGGATAGTACCATATATATACCATGGATAATTTTCACTAGACATACATACTTGTGATAGTTTCATTTACATATTAGTCACAGCAAGAGATTTCTAAAAAAATCTAACAAAATTAACAATTATTAAAAATACAATGCTATTTAAAATATGAATTGCTTATTTCTGGATTTTCCATTTAGTATTGTCGGACCACAGCTATCAATAACTGAAAATGCTGAAAGTCAAACCATATAATTTCAAATAAAACATAGTTAACTAAATAAAAAACTATTAAATAGTTTCACTGAAAGAGTACAGACAAGAGGTAGCAACTGCAAGAAACAGTTTTTATCCATAGGCTTGAGGGAACAAAGGGAAAAGGGTGAAATTGTTAAAACTTAGAAACTTGGAGGAGAGGCTTATGCTTGATGGTTAAAACTTCCATTCCATGATTTGTTTGCCCTTAACTAGGACTTCAGTTGTTTGGTGTCTTAGTTTGTTTGGGGTGCTATAACAGGTATTCCTCACAGTTCTGGAGGCTGGGAAGTGCAAGGTCAAGGTAGCAACGGCTTTCATCTCTGGTGAGGGCTCACTTCCTGTTACTACAAGGCACCATTACACAATGTCCTCACGTGACGGGAGGGACAGGTGGCTTTCTGTTTCTTCTTGTAAATGTGCATGTATAAGGGCTACACTTTAAATGTAATCATCTCCAAAAGGCCCCACCTCCTCCTTGGAGATTAGAAGTCCAACATATGAATTTGGGGAGTACCCAAGCATTTAGACTATTTGAGTAGTCCTGACAGGCTGAGAAAACCTCCAGGCCTGATGGGTCTGAATCCTCAGTACCCTGCTTTAGTAGCGCTAATTTTCCACTAGCTTTTTTTTTTTTTTTTTTTTTTGACAGGCAGAGTGGACAGTGAGAGAGAGAGACAGTGAGAAAGGTCTTCCTTTGCCATTGGTTCACCCTCCAATGGCCGCGGTGGCTGGCACGCTGCGGCTGGCACACGGTGCTGATCCGAAGGCAGGAGCCAGGTGCTTCTCCTGGTCTCCCATGGAGGTGCAGGGCCCAAGGACTTGGGCCATCCTCCACTGCCTTCCCGAGCCATAGCAGAGAGCTGGCCTGGAAGAGGGGCAACCGGGACAGAATCTGGTGCCCCAACCAGGACTAGAACCCGGTGTGCCGGCACCGCAAGGCGGAGGATTAGCCTAGTGAGCCGCAGCGCTCTCTGCTGTGGCCCGGGAGTGCAGTGGAGGATGGCCCAAGTGCTTAGGCTCTGCACCCACATGGGAGACCAGGAAGAAGCAACTGGCTCCTGGCTTCGGATCGGTGCAGCACACCGGCCATAGCAGCCATTTGAGGGGTGAACCAATGGAAGGAAGACCTTTCTCTCTGTCTCTCACTGTCTAACTCTGCCTGTCAAAAAAAAAAAAAGAAAGAAAGAAATACCAAAATATTACATATATTAGACCAAACAGGAAATATGACATGAATTACACAGTAACTCTAAAGAGCAGAAAATTTAGAAATGGATTTGGTCTCAGAAACTAACACAAACTGTATCATTTATGGAAACTGATTAATAGCACTTCACTGCTTCATCAGTGGCCAGCATTGTGGCCCAGTGGGTTAAGATACCACCCGCAACACCAACATCCTATATGATCACCAGTTCAAGTCCTAGCTGTTTCACTTCTGATCCAGCTACTTTACCTACTTCATATAGTCCTCACTACAACTTGCTAAGGTATGTATTATTGTCCCCATTTTACAGAAAACAAAACTGACCCAGATTGACTTGCCCAAAGCTATTCAAACAATGGACAACACAGCACCAAAACACACTTTTCTACTACCAAGTCTTGATTGTCACACCATTCCACACTATTGCTTATTATAAATATAATTCATAGATATAGTAAATCAAATTATCCCATGGGATTACTACTTTAGTAATGTAAATTCTGAGACATGATCTAAACTTCATGAGTTATGCTGATCTGTATTTTTAGCGATTCAGTTAACTTTTCCATCCTTATCAGATGTCTAGAACTCAAAGTTCAACAAATATTAATAAACATGATTTGTATAATCATTCCTTGTCCCTTTCCAAGAAAAAAGTCATTTTACAATCAGTGTTTCTGTAATTAGTATTTTTCCCTTTTTGTAACAGATGTAAGACACCTATTAGTTTGACTTACATTTCTTTTGTCTGTTATATAGTTTACACCTAGATTTGTGTTGCACTACGTCTTGACTGCATACATATTACAACACCCTCATGGCTTCCTTTTGAAATGGCTCCTGCTCTATGACATTAGTGGTATGTATTAAAAACAGACAGTAGGGTGGCATGCTAAGATCTGGCAACAATGAATTCTATCACTTAGACCTTAAGTCAGATTCTCCCTTTCAAACTCCATTTCTGAACCTCATTTAACCCTTTGTCTCAACTAGTTAATACCAAATGCCTAGAGCTTCATAGACTACTTTGTCTGCAAAAGGATGTCCTTCCACGTCACTGAGACTCTGGGCCAGAAGCACTCCAGGTACTGAAGGAATAACACTGAGCACAAGAGACTCAAATCTGCCATCGGGGGAGTTTCTGTTCTACTGGGACCTCCGCATCAAAATTCTATCCTTGAGTGTCTTTGGTGGGATGAGGAAATTTCAGATTATGGTATACAAGGTATGGAGTTTTTGCTTAAAAAAAAAAAACTTATTAAAATATCCTGACATAAGTGGGATGCATTTACCCTTTCCTCCTTTCTCCTGTGAAATGAATTTTTAATTTAAAAATATAATGATGTATTATGGAAAAATGTATAGGGATGTATAAAACTAAACTGTTGCATCAGAAATTCTCAAACATCATTAAGCAGTTTCCATTTTCCCTTTCTGCATGAGTATGTTTCCTGAGGACACCACTGGGGTAAAAACTCTTGCTCAAGTTCGCACAGCCAGCAGGCCAGAGAGTAGAAACCCAACCCGACCTAACTTAATTCTCAGAGCAGGGTTCAAGGCCCTAAACTCGGGTTGCCTCAGCATGTATAGTATCCACACTGCTGGTGTACAAGGTGGCACCATGCCACCTGCACAGCCCGCGTTCCTACCTGGAGGTGAAACCCAGAAGCGTGCCGTCACCAAGCTGCCACTGCGGTTGCTACAAAAACGAGGTCCACACACAGTTTCCGGTCGTTCCTGCCGTTGTGAAAACCAGCACCGCGCCGTCTCCACACCGCGCCGTCCTCACACTGTCCTCACTTGACAGGGAAAAGAGAAGGCGCCATGTGTCCAAGCCACCATTGTTAGGTCCACACACAGCTTCCAGTCATTCCTGCTGTTGTGAAAACCAGCACCGTGCTGTCTCCATTTCGCCATCGTGGTTGTTATAAATACGAGGTCCACACACAGCTTCCGGTCATTCCTGCCGTTGTACACACCGCACCGCGCCGTCTCCACACGGCCATTCCGCGCCGTCCTCACACTGCCCCACTTGGCGGGGAGAAGGGAAAGCGCGCCACGTCTCCCGCTCCCGGAGCTGCAGGGCTCCCGAGCGGCTCGCGCATGTCAGTTCCCTCGTCAGCCTCCGCGACGCCCCAGACTGGGCGCCCGGGCTGGGCCTGTGGCGCGGCGCCTCCCTCCGCCATGGACGCCCTCCGGAAGAAGCTGGTGGTGGTGGGAGCCGGCGCCTGCGGCAAGACGAGCCTGCTGGTGGTGTTCAGCCGCGACCACTTCCCGGAGGAGTACGTGCCCACGGTGTTCGAGAACTACGTGGCCGACGTGGAGGTGGACGGCCGGCGGGTGGAGCTGGCGCTGTGGGACACGGCCGGCCAGGAGGAGCACGACCGCCTGCGGCCGCTGTCCTACCCGGACACCGACGTCGTGCTCCTGTGCTTCGCCATCAGCAGCCCGGACAGCCTGGAGAACGTGCCGGCCAAGTGGGCCCCGGAGGTCCGGCACTTCTGCCCCGGCGTGCCCCTCGTCCTGGTGGGGAACAAGAAGGACCTGCGGAACGACGCGGGCACCAGGCAGGCGCTGGCGGCCTGGAAGCAGGAGCCCGTGCGGCCTGAGGCAGGCAGGGACGTGGCCAGCAGGATTGGCGCCTTCGGCTACCTGGAGTGTTCGGCGAAGACCAAAGAGGGCGTGAGGGAGGTGTTTGAGATGGCCACGAGGGCTGCTCTGCACGCCAGACGCGGCAAGAAGAGGTGGGGCTGCCTGGTCCTGTGAAACCTTGCGGCTCGGTGCGAGTGGCGTGTTCGCTGGGCTTCCTGTCTGCTTATTGGCGTTTTTTTTTTTTTTTTTTCATTTATCAGTAGTTTACCAAAGACTGCAAACCAGAAGTCACCTTGCTACAGCGTTTATTAGTCAACCATGGTCAATGACATCCAACTCGGCCACCACCCCCCCCCCCACTGCCCTGTACCCTAACCCTGCCTGACACAGCAGGTGCTGTGAATTTCTTCACTTCTTGCTTCTTTCTTGAAAGGGAAAGCAGGTGTCTCTTGTGAATCAGGTTGGAACTACTTTAAAACCAGCATCCCACCTGGCAGCTGCAGGGTACTCTGATGTGTTACCACTGTGGAGCTTTGCTCCTTAGCAGATCTCATTGGTGTACCTCTGGGTATCCAGTTTGTTTCAAAAAAAGGGGGGGGAGGGGGGCTCAACCAGCAAGACCCAAGTCCATGCGGCTGTGGCAGAGTTACAGCTCTGTGGTTTCAGGTTTGTTACCTTATGGTTCCTGTGTAAGTAGTGCCACTTAATGTATGTTACCAAAAATAAATATATCTACCCCAGGCTAAATGTGGTTTTGGTATAATTGGATTGCATAATACCGATATTTGCCAACCCTTCAGAATGTGTATTGGCTTGTAAAAACAAAAAAAAAAGTAAGTAGTGTTTGAAAAAAATTGAGATTGAAGTTTCAGTTTTGAAATTCCCACTGTGTTACTAAATCTCTGGTAAAAGATAACCACATCACTTGTTTTCTACCTATATCAGTACCTGTTTCCAGAGATGAGCTAAGTCAATAGGACTTTGTTTTCACACCTGAGGCAATTAGAATCTGTGGAAGGTGCTATAATCTCTCTCACCTGGCCTGCAGGCTCTGGCTGTAATTCACAGCGCTTTTTCTCTTCACTGGGTCTAGGTTCCCTCACAGAGAAGTTGCCAATCTTAAAGGTGGAACTTGATTTCCCGCTTCTCTTTAGTGGACTAATTTTTTTCCCCTGTACTTGTTAATTTTTCCAACTACTAATAAAATAAAGGTAGTTTCAGCCCCAAAAACAGTGCTGAAGTTTTTTGAAACCTGAAATGGCAAGAAAGGTGGTAATGGAGGACAGATTTCAATGTCACTGTTAGTCTAAATTATTAAGCAACCAGATAGGATTTATAGAGATTTAAAATATATCATCATGGTGGGAATAAACAAACATTATCTTGGCTTGTAGTTCCACTCCGAATTCTGTAAAACACTGGTAGAAATGGTTTGCAAACTTGTTCAGTACAGGGCCACATCATAAGTATCTTAGGCTTTCCAGACCATTCTTTGTTGTGTATTCTTTTGTTGGTGGTTTATTTTATTAACAACCCTTTAAAGAAATAGAAAGCATTCTTAGCGCTATGCAAAAACAGGCCCCAGGCCAAATTTAGTCCATTGGCTGTAGTTTGCTGTCCCCTAGAAATGAGGTTCTGGGTGTCTGGTTCCACCACAATCTTCTCTGCTATTGTCTACATAAATGTCTAAGATGTACAAGGTGAACTTTTTCACTGGAAGTTTTGTGACTGGCCGAAACAGAGGTAACTTAAATATTCTGATTATATTTTTTCTTTTAAAAATGCTCATGATGTTACAAAATAAACAGATACAGCGATTTCATGCTATATTAACATAGATTCTTTGTTTTTCTTTCACTTATAAAAGTTCAAGACATACTTTTAAATTTTCAAATTGAGTACTTTTTTACAACAGTAAGTGCATAAATGATTGCTGTATCATCAGAAGTAAATGTATAGCAATTCATTGGACATTGTAGAGTATCACAAATATATCAAAGTAGACTATATATTTTTTTGACAGGCAGAGTTAGACAGTGAGAGAGAGAGACAGAGAAGACTTTATGTTTTTGGCCGGCGCTGCGGCTCACTAGGCTAATCCTCCACCTGCAGCGCCGGCACCCCGGGTTCTAGTCCCGGTTGGGGCACCAGATTCTGTCCTGGTTGCTCCTCTTCCTGTCCAGCTCTCTGCTGTGGCCCAGGAGTGCAGTGGAGGATGGCCCAAGTGCTTGGGCCCTGCACCCCATGGGAGACCAGGAGGAGGCACCTGGCTCCAGGCTTCGGATCAGCGCAGCGCGCTGGCTGCAACGAGAAGCCATAGTGGCCATTTGGGGGGTGAACCAACAGAAAGAAGAACTTTCTGTCTCTCTCTCACTGTCTAACCCTGCCTGTCCCCCCCCACCCAAAAAAAAAAAAAAGTGAGAGAAGACTTTATATTTTAAAGATAAATGTGTTCACTTATTTTCTGAAATTGCTTTCATAAAAATGTTCCCTATACAATTGCTGGTTTTTGTAGCATCTTTTTAATACATTTTTACTACCCAGACTTTGTGTTTCAACCTGTGTCATTTTTGGACGACTATAAACTAAAAAAATTCTTTTTTGTTCAGGTAAGAAAAATAATTTTACAGTGAAAAATGTTTCACTGTAGCTCATGAGACAGGGGTTATTCCACTTATTAGTTTGCACACAATTGTGAGTAAAATATAGTTGCTTAGTTCTAATTCAGAGTATTTGGAATGGTAAAAATCCCAGTTTTTCAAAAGAGGCCAATGAATAAAAAGATTTTTCTGAAAATCAATTATATCACTTATATTAGGCCTTGTGTACTAATTGTGAGCTACATATCAGCAATTACAAGTCATGAAGCAGATAACATAGGCCTGATACTACTGCCGAGAGCAGAGGTCCTCTTTGGAACCATTTGATCTCTTATGAAACCATTTGATATGAAAACCATCTCTCTGGCTTTAACTTTTTGCAAAACTGAATATCCAGAAGTAGTTTGGCATGCAGATCCCATGATTCCAAATGCACATCTTTGCATGGTTGTAAGATTTCAAAGACATTTAAGTCTCTAGGGCAACTTAATAAACTATCAATTTGTTTATTTGCTCCTAATAAATTGTTAGTTGTAGAAAAAAATAAACTATCAATTTGCTTTTTTAAGTATCTGATCTCTAATCTTAAAAATGAAAGAAACTTTTAAAATAACTGTTGGAAAATTTATATAATCAGTGGACAGAATTAAGTGCACATAGGTTTTTTCCCCTACTGAAGTGGTATTAGAATCTCTCTCTTCCTTTAATGAGTTTTGCTGTCAACTTTATCATGTGATCTGATTCTAAATGTTTTTAACTTGAGAATCACTGTCTTGGCTTGCCTAAAAAAGTACAAATTGCAAAGGGAGTGTCATAATATCTTGCTTCTCTTAGCTGAAAATGACCCATGCAGATGTTCAGGTAAAGGAAATTTGGCCTGGCTATCAAACGGTCATGGATGAAACAAACAAGAATTTCAACTGAAGCCTGAGATTTGCAATCTACACCACTGCTTTTCCACTGAGTAGCATATGAATTGACAATATGATCATCTACTTTCTGTTATCATTAGCTTATTGTATTATTGGTTAAAGCCAGCCTATAAGGATGAACATATAGCTTAATATGCAAATCAAATAAAATGTGAAATACACTTATTTATGATATACTTGCATTATAGAAAGTATGATTAAAATTTAAAGTAATTTAAAAAATTAAAAGTAATTTTTAAAAAGATTTATTTATTTGAAAGGCAGTTACAGAGAGAGAAGGAGGGACAGAGATTGATCTTCCATCCACTGGTTCACTCCCCAAATGGCTGCAATAGCTGGGGTTGTGTCAAGCCAAAGCCAAAAACTAGGAACTAGTTCTCACTGGGTTCTGCTGCTTTGTGCCCCAGCAGACTGACTCCTTCCTATTACCTCCCACTACACCCCACTCTCCAGATGCTCTGGTTACTGTCGTTTCTACTGAAGTTTGTTTCAGCAATTTCTACACTGGTTTGGATATTCCTGGTAGGACGCACTATGGTGATTGATTAACACTATTTTGTAAATAAAAAAAAAAGTATTGTAGTATTGTATGCGCACTTGTGTGTCACCTGTGTTACAATCATTTGGGTTCCATTTCAGGCTTTGGCTCTGGTTACTAACATGGAGTTAGCCAAACTATAGTTTGAGTGCATGATCATTTCTGACACCCACTGCAAGGAGTTACAGTCCAGCTACAAAGTAAAAAGCTGGCTCCTGCCAGGATCAGCGCGGTGCGCCGGCTGCAGCGGCGGCCATTGGAGGGTGAACCAACGGCAAAAGGAAGACCTTTCTCTCTGTCTCTCTCTCACTGTCCACTCTGCCTGTCAAAAAAAAAAAAAAAAAAAAAAAAAAAAAAAAAAAAAAAAAAAAAAAAAAAACAAAGTAAAAAGGGAAAATTTATACAAGATTTCTCTCTGACTTCTGCACCAACTTAAAAGTCAGTAGTTTCCCAAAACTACCCTTGTGCTTGCTAATTCATGAGAAAGGCCCACAGTAATCAGGAAGGCTGTTACACACCTGGTGATGACCAATTGTAATGCAGGGGAACAGAGGATTCCACATGCCCTTAGCACATACTGCCTTCTCGGCACTCGTGGGTGATAAACACACATGCAGTGCTGCCAACCAGAGAAGCTGACCCAGGTCTCCCCATGAGCAGAGCTGTTATTGTGGTCCTATTAGGTAAGCGTGATGGATTGACTGCCTCTATAGTTGAGATTCAGCCTCCAGGTTAACTGATACCACATGATTCAAAGACCCAATTCTAAAATCACATGGCTGAGCTTTCTGGTGTGGTCTGCTCTCATCTGAAGATTATCAGTCATGGCCAGCCACATTCTCAAATAAAAACATTCCAGATAGTTATGATACAAATTTCTCTCCAGAAGCTACAGGCAAAGTCCAGACTCCACTGTGAACTACGTAACATCTCTAAGCCTGTGTTTTTTCATCTGTAAAATAAATGTAATCAACTTTCCCTATGACTTTCAAGCCTTAATTCATGAAGAAATGCTGTAATCCTCTATATTTAGAAAAAAATCCCAGCTAGTAAAAATTAAAAAAAAAAAACCACTTCATTTCTGCTAGAATGGGGTAGCTTCTCTGTCTGAGAGAATACTGTCAAATGGCCCCCACCACAAATCCCATTTTCCAAAGATAATTCTGATTGCATCATGTCCTCAGACAGGCTCTCCCATTGTCAGGGGAATGGTACCTTGTGGTGAGACGTCCACTGTACCAACCACTGGTAGGAGAGCCATGTTCTAAGCACTCATTAGCTGTGTGGTGTCATACAGGTAGTCTAACTTCTCTAAGCGTCGGTTTCCTTGTGAAGATAGCATACTTGCTTTGTGTGATATCACAGCTTATTTTAAATCAATTGAATGTCATTGAGTTTAAAAATCATGACAAATATATATGTATATGAAAATACTCATAAGTCAAAATTTAGTGAATAGTAAAGCCTCCAGGTACCCCCAAGACAGTGGATTTCAGTAATGTACAGAAGAAAGGGGCTAATATGTCAATACAAAGTGTAATTCTGAGTGTTTCTGTCCCCACAAAAACTCATGTATTACAATCCTAAAGCCCAGTGTGGCTGTATTAAGAGGCTGGACTTTGAGGCTGTGATTTGAAGCAGCTCTGTCTTCATGATTGGGATTAGTGTTCTTATAAAAGAGGTCCCAAAGA